ATCAGTAAAAGAAAATACTATGTGCATTATTAACTATTTTACAACTGTTTTTATTTTACATAAGCGGGGCGACCTACCTCCATGATGGTAAATGTACTGGCTTACGTAAGCGATCTGCTGTAGGCCAGCAGCCTACTATTGAACCTAAAATACGACAACGCCGGCAATACGGAAGGCGCGAAGTAAGCTCTCGTACTTTTTTCAATGTTCCAATTCATAAGATTTCTGTTTGGTATATAAATTATAATCTACATGAACTGTAATTAACATGTATACAAAGACGTAAAAATAAATCATTATTACGTTAATACTTTACTTTCAACTAAGAAACCAAGGATATAAACTTGTTTCATGTCAAATGTCAGATGCACATATTATTGAGTCGCTTTGGTTATGCTTATGTTAATTTCTCTATCATGTGTATATTCACTTTTAAAATTGATAAAAAAAAATTATTTGAAATAGAACAATCAATTTGAAACATCCGATTAGGTAAGATGTAACATAGTTTATTTCCGAATAAAGTAAGACGGAACAGCTTAAAGAACGCTTCTCAATAATCCTTTAATTATGTGTTTGTAAGGAGCAGAAGGAACGTGTAATTCGAGAGTGTATTTGAAGTTGTATACCTATGTCATACGTAACATTTATTTTTGTAAAGAACATTATTTTCATAATGTTTCATAAAGACTGTAAATTCAGACAAGAGCGCGTATTTCAAACCCTGTCTTATATTCTGTAAATAAACAAAAATTATATTTCAGTCTGTGTCATATATAACTGTACATTGGTAAAGAAGGCGTTCTTTAAGCTGTAACATATTACTTAAGTTAGTCATACTGTAATGCTTTCCTGTCAAAAAAATTCTAACTTCTGCCAATATCGTAAAAAACGGTCATTTATGGAACGTTATCTTTCACAATATTCGGTATTCAATTATTTTTAACCGTTTAAAATCGGAATTTAGTACATTGTGATAAAGGATGAGTGATTGTAAATAATCTAATGCGCAAGATTTTGAAAAGATACAGTTCCGGAAATAACGGATTAGCTGCGATATTGGCCGATGTTAGAATTTCTTTGGCGGGGATTAGCATTGTATACAGAATTCGTATAGTTCGAGCATCATTTCTTAATACAAATATCAAATGAAGCATTATTTCTAGTCTTATAGAGACCCCCAGGTACTGAATTGCATAACAGATTTTGTTTTATTTTTTACAGTGTTCGTTATCACACACCGGGACATGCGATGAACTGTCAACCAAGGCACCTGTCTTAAACTAAGAAGCACTATAACATTTTAATTCTGCAGAATAGTGATACGTTTATTGTTTCTGTTCATCTGTACAATGTTGTAATTTACAGACATAGCCTTTGTAATCCTATACATCTTCGAACATCTTGTGTGTTTGTGTGTGCGTGCGTGCGTGCGTGCGTGCGTGCGTGCGTGTGTGTGTGTGTGTGTGTGTGTGTGTGTGTGTGATAATTGGGTCTGAATATGGCTAAGAATTTTCACTAAATGTTCAGATTGTGTTACTAATTAGATATATACACAAAATGTATGCAAAACGTTTGAAAATATACCAGACATGCTTTAACATAAAGCGTTTTGAAATCTGAGTTGTATGCTTTTGAAAATAATGTATGTACCACTTTTCTTTAAAATATCTAGTTTTCCAGGAAAGCAACAAAAATGATGTTTCAACATCTGATACAGCAATATCCATAAACATGGCAATACAAGTACCATAAAGTGGTAACACAATGCTTGTTTGTGTCGTTAATTGCTGAAATTTGAATGCCATATGTTTGTATTTGATCACCGATCGCGTAACAACTGCTTTTAATGCACATTTAACTATGAAACAGAATGTTACTCTCTTTCAAATTCTCTACATTAGATTTCAAAGTTTATTCTTGATGTGTGACAGATGCAATCCAAAAAATCCTATAGACATGGGAATCGAACTAACAGTCACCGGCTTAGTGGCATACTGACACAACTCTTTACTTCTGAGCTAAGATAAAATCTTGTATTAAAGTGCTCAAGACAGGTTTTCACGCATACATAACACTCATATTTTAGATACTCTATATATATACTGAAACACAGTCCGTTAAGAAATTAATATCGAAAATATATTCAAAGTTTAAGCAATGACTAGAATCAATGACTTTCAAACTTTTATATTGTGTTAAACAAAAGTGCAAATTCAAATTTGAAAAATGCCAACCCGTCTGTGATTTGAACAAATCGTATGCTAATTCAAAACCAAATTGTTTACAAAATTCGTTCTGTTTTCATAATTCAAAAATAAAAATAATTTATTACGTGGACTAAGATTGAAACACTATTCCAGACCACTCTGTAGTAAATATTTCTTTCACTTTTTCATAAGAAAATAAAAATATATGTGTATACGAGGTATGTTCAAAAAGTTCGTGAACTTTTGCTGTCATTTTTACTTGGTTCATAAAACAAACCTGAGTTGATATAAATCGAAAGAGTATCTTTATTTCAAAAAGTATGTTATATTTTTATCTTAAATCTTTACTTCTTTTACGAACTATTTGCAATTTAATAACATGGCAAAATGTAAAAAAAAATTGCATGTCATGTTTTACTTTTCTTTACAAACTATGTGTATTATAAATACTAACTCACATCAAATATTGAAAATACTAATAGTCTGTTGCATATATCACGCTCATTGTGATGTGATCACACAAACTTTGATTATTATAAATACCACTACTTTATGTATATATAATCTTCGTCGGTGGGGGTGGTTCCTTTTAGCTCAGTTTCGAGTATTTTTGTTGTGTGACAACAGGCGTGCATGAGACAAGTTCATAAATCCCCACACAGAACACTGTATAGAAACAGAAAGAGTTTCTAAATAAAAATCTGGGAACAAAGTGATCCCTCGGACGCATTAATCACAACAAAATTACAAGAGAATTGCAGACTCGGTTTGATTGAGTCTGTACATGAGGAATAATGAAAATGTGCAACATCCCTCACGACCCCTAGCCGAAGAACGATATAAACGACCAGACTTGGTACTGATCTTTCCTGTTACATTTGAAAGATATTGCACCAGTAGTTTTTTTAGGAGAAGTCCGGAAAAGTTTTGTGACAGACGGGCAAACGAACAACGGAGAGGTTATCCCTATATGTCGCCACTACTCTATAGAGTCTCTGGCGGCCTAAGCAAGGTTGTATATTTTTAGAAACTTATAAAACAGCTTTTAATAATTTAAGTTTTTAAGACAAATCTTGTTTGTTATATCAAAATATCAAAGAGATATAAACAGGAACAGTTTTTGATTTCAGTTGGCGGCCTAGAGGTGCAGGTTGCCAAACATTTAAAGCTGTAGAAAGTTTGTTAACACATACTAAAAGGCTCTGAATGAAGGTTTTAAGACATATATTGTGTGTCATATCAGTGTGTGTGTGTTGGTGTGCGTGCGTGTGCGTGTGTACGTGTGTGTGTTGGTGAGTGAGTGAGTGAGTGAGTGAGTGAGTGAGTGAGTGAGTGAGTGAGTGAGTGAGTGAGTGAGTGCGTGCGTGTGTGCGTACGTACTTGCGTGTGTGTGTGTGTTGTTGTTGTTTTTATTGTTGTTGTTTTTTTTTCCGAACAAAGCCAAGCGCTTTGTTCGATTTAATACAAATAGAAATTAAATGATTTGTTTTCAGAAATGTGATTCCTATGTGTTTTGCAGATTTAATATTTTCTTAATCATGATGCTAGATAAATTAATTAAATTATTTTGGATTCTTATTACTAATAAAAGTAATACTAAGGATATTACATTTGTCTGGGTGGAAACGCACCATGCACTTTGACTTCAATGTCGATTATGGCATTAGTTAAAAAAAACACACGATTTTGTTTCTATAGTACCAAAGTTCTCTTGTATTATTAACATGGTGCCTAATTTTCCAATCCAGCTAGTATGCTTGTTGAAATTTGTGAGAAAGTTTTACCACAAATTGTCATCAAAATATTGCCGCATAGAAAATTTTCTGCAAGCATAACGGGAAAATTATATACCACTGGATTTTGCAAATATTTGCCTAGAACATGGTATATGGTTATATTACTCAATATTGAAAGAAATAAAAAAAATAGCAAAGAAGAAAAAAGTTTAAGTAATGGACGCAAATAATCGCCGGGACCTAGTCAAAATATATTGACGTGCCAAAGCTAGATTCTGAGATATGTTTGTTCTGGGTCAGAATCTCGCTATTGCCCATACAAAAAATAGCACAATATCTCGTCGCGTAGTGCTAAGCGATGACCCAATTTTAATGTTGAATATTAAATTAGAAAGGCATAAAATATGCCACAGGACGTATTCGTTGAAATGTTGGCCGTCAGCACGCATCTCTTCGGTCCTTTCCGTCAAACTTCGGATGAACCGAGCACAATACATTATAGTAAGAATACACAGACCAAAGAAAACAAAAAATGTAAACAAATAGTAATTTAATGCTGGGAGTTGTCGGCTAAGTTTATTCCAATATATCGAATAAACGTCCACCTAAATTAAAGTAAATTTACAGATATTAAAATAAACAGTATAATATTTATATACTTAAAAAATTATTAATATGGCTGTAGAAACCGAAAGTACAAAATGTCTACCAGTTGACAAATATTTGGATTAGTTTATAATTGTTCATCAGTGGGCATATTTAAATTGATTATGATTGTCAGATATATTTTCAATCATGTTAAGGTCGTTGACATCAAACCAATTGCTTCTCACCGTTGTAGGTTCGAGCGCGCCAGCGTCTTCCGATTCTTCATGTGAGAAAACTATCTAGCTAGCTCACGGAACGTCGGTGGTTCTACTCTGGTGCCTGTTTCTGCCTGAAATAATGAGGTCTTCCTCCACCAGTAAAGCTTGAAAGGCGCCATATGACCTATACTGTGTTTGTGTGACGTTAAACCCAAACAAACAAAAACAAATAATAACATAATTGCTCCAATTTTTCACCATTACCCCGACAAGAAGGATATTGACGGCTTCGATGTATTTAGAGTTATATTTATTATCCAATCATTACTTTTGCAAAGAAAGGGTTTGCACTAGAAAATTCCTTCAGAAATGTGCAGAATACTATATCTGTAGAGTTAATTTGATAAACAACATTCATTGAACATGTGGGGGAAAAGTGATTGATATACATCTTATAAAATGACTGATAAAGAAAGCCAATTGTCATAACATTCACATGATAAATACTTTGATAAATCTTTTCTATTTTGTTCAATGTACTTTAAACTATATGTGATGAACATTTTTGAAAATGTTGCTTTAATAAGAAGCTTCTAGTTATGTAGCCTATAGATATTATCGGGATAGCAAGAGCTGGGTTTTCACTGATCACTGTCAAAAGCTTTGAAACACTTATATAAATAGCATAGTTCGTTAGGATTAATATCTTCGTAGGATGTGGTTTACGGTTATCGTCGAACGTCCAGTGATGTTGGAAATGTGCGTCTCGACCCAAAACGATATATTCTGAAATGATAATAGTGATTTATAATATTTATTTCTCTTCGTAATACAATTTAGAAGTTTTTAGGTAGATTTCAGACTTTCAAATTTAATGGCTACAGTTTAAACTTTGCTATTATATCTGCTTTGTTGCTTTGACTAGCAGGAACCTCAATTTCAAAGTGTCTCCAAATCCTACAACCAGTTAGGAATGAAAAGTTCATGAAATGTGATGCAGATGGGTAGTTAATTTCTGATACCTAGTAACACAATATACGACTCAGGATGAAAATCGCCATATAACCCCAGATCAATAATCTTAAAATTTGGGGATGTTAAATCATTTACGACAATGACGTTATCTCCACAATATTGTTATGCTTCAACCTCATCATAATTATGACATTTAAAATGTCTTTGTGACTTAGAACCCAACAAAAGAAAACACGCGTCTGTACCAATGCCAATTTCTTTGTGCAGATTTGAAACGGTGTCGGAATGATAATCATAAAAAAATATGAAAGAGACCATCTCTTTAACTTACCCCATTATTATAAGAGATATAAAGTTACATCCAGTTAATATGAAGAATATCATGCCTCTGTAGATACTTAGAGTATGCGAGTAAATCTCGTTTGCTGCTACTGTACCACCAATATTTACTATAGTCTCCATTGTAGAGATGGTCGAGAAAATCGCTCCTGACAAGATAAATTACATACAGTATACATATGTGGATACTTTGAAATATATATTCATGTAGTGTATAAGACGTGAAAAATATGGTTTCAACATAAATGTTTCTTGAGAAAAAAAGAAGAACCGGAATAGGGCCAAACTATCTGATATTTTCTGACTGAGAGTCCAGCAAACGCGACCAATATATAAGAGTCGTGAGCTGCAAAATCCCTTTAAAAGCTTCCTAGCACTTAATCAATTTGGACCATAATGATATCTATATGTTCAGCTTTAACAACGTGTATAGCCTCAAAAGACACATAAATGTATAATATAGAGCGCCTATACAAAGATTTTGGTCTGGCACACACACGATAATTCTACAAAAGTATATCTTGTGTGTTCGCCTATTAAATAATCGTTTGTTTTTTTTCCCTTAATTGTATCGTATCTTTGTGTTGACTTTAGTGACGAATACACGAAAAAATGAAATGGCAGAAATCAGCCACTATAGAATATAGAAATTAAATGTGTACTTTGGCAAAAATGCCCTTAGGTTAATATTTGCAACAGTGTGAAATTTATCTCCCACGTTCAATGCTTTAAAACGTTTTTGAAACGTTCATGTTTCGCAAAAATAAAATGATTCTTGTAAATACATAAAATAAAAAGTTGAAAACACTGTTAACTCAAAATTTTCCAAGAAATTAAATATGATCTTTTTAAAATTTCATAGCGAACTTAAAAGGACGAAAACTGATTACCCGCTTATTTTGCATTACTATTGTTGTATATAAACCAATTCAAGACATATCTGTACAAAATAGCCTCCTTATTAATAACAATAAGGCAATGGCATATTTCTAGTCTGCACTTTAATTAAAGGGCTGACAGCTCTTTGTCCCTTTCTCGTAAGAAAAGGGGAATCCTGTGATGCGTGTATGTGGTCGCACGACCACTTTCCTTCCAAAATGTCCTCGATGCATGTATGTGGTCGCATGTTCGAAAATATAAGGAATTTTTAAAAGTCTAAAATTAATAGGACTATGCTACTTCTGGCTCTGGCTAGAAGTAGTTTTAAAACCTTTTCACTTTTAATTAGGAGATATAAAAGTCTAATTAGGTCTTTGATACTCCTGAAGTGGAGAGATAAAAAATTGATTAAAACTTAGTTACTTCCATTTACAAAATGTACAACCAAAACTTTAACGTTTTCACACAAAGAACAAATAAGAATTCTATTTTTCCTAATAAGTTTTAAAACTTCTAATTAGGACATTCAAACTCCTAATTTGTTCTTAGACATTAGAACGTCACACTAATCCGTGTGCGGGCCGAAACCTGAGTAGAACCATCGCCATTCCGTAAGATTGCTGGACATGAAAGAATCCAAAGTCCCTGGCGGGAGTCCAACAATCAGGACAAGTAGATGGAGGTTGCGGCATGTGCGACATTTAGTGGCGTTACGACATATAACGGCGCCACAATGAAAAGTAGTCTATGATATCCTACTAGCCATTGATCAAACTCGTGGCTTATATGCTAATCGTTCGTTCTACCATTTTGATTAATCAAAAATAAGTACAAAAAAGTTGTAATTTGTGAAAAGGGATACATACATTGTGTCATTTGTGTATTGAGCGTATTGTTCTAAACACTTATGAATGGTGCTAACATATTCAAAGTACCGGCCTCGGCTATATTCACTCTACCAGTGCAGCCAGCGTTTTGATTAAACAAAGTATATGTACAACAGAGTTGTTACTTGTGAATAGAGATGTGCATTTAGTAATTTGTGTAATGCTTTATTATGGTTCTAAAATAATGAAGTATCAATATATACTCGTGGCCTCAGTTATATTTGATCTGCCAGTGCAGCCAGCGCTTTGATTAATCAAAAGGATAAATGTTACAAAATAAATTATTTGTGGAAAAAAAATGTAAATTTTACAATTTGTGTTATTAATATATTGTTGTAACCGCTTATGTATGGTTCTAACATATTGAAAGTATCAACACATAAATAACCTTTAGCAGACATTCATGAAGTTCTTCATTTTAAATGAAATATTCAATTTATGCATTAATCAATGTATAAAATATCCATACCTTGGTGGTCAGGGTGAGTAAGTTTAGATAATAGTGACCTTGTTATTGGTACAGTGAGCAAACCACACACACCGATTGCCGGAACTGTAAACAAAATATGCCCTTTAAACAAATTCATTAATAATATATTGATTATAATAAGCTTATGTAAATAATTTATGTGTTTTTCGACCTCTGTATGTTTGGCTATTTTGTGAATGGTAGAAGTAAGACATGGCTTTGACTTAAAGCTCCAAATTAGGTCAGATACTGCCTGACTGTTTGATTTTCAATACATATTAATTTAAGTACATGTACTAAAATTTAGCATTATATATTATAATAATATACATATTGTGGTGAATAAAGCTGTATAGAAAATTTACAAATGGTGAAAACTTTCTAAAAAGAGTTACGGCGATAGATTTACACTACGAAAGAAAGTCGTCGGACTAGTAATCTAAGTGGGTTAAAACCCTGTCAAGGGCAAGCCGTTGTTTCCTTGAGCAACTTTGCACTAATTGTTTACTACTGGTTGGTTCCAGGAACGGATTCGAGAGTGTTTCAATAACCTTATAGCTTCTAACTCAATTAAACTAAAATAAATTTGTATAAACTTAAGACAGTAAATAAACAAAATAGCATACCAATATACATAAGAATGTCTGATTGGGCCAGTCCTTCTAGTACAAGACTAGCACCGAAAGATACGCAACCTAACATTGCTATAGCCTCGTCCGACATAGCTTTCTGCAGAAGTTTAATAACGCCCATTCCAAATATTTGTTGCAGTAGATTCTTAAGAGAGCTAAAATTTCCAAGTTTCTCCGAACTCCAGCAGAACGGCGCGTCAAGCAGATATAAAGGTTCCACGCTCTGTCGCCCGAATGAAGAAAAGACTGTCAAAAGAAAAACTAACATCAACGTGTTATACATCCAACGCCGACCTTTGTTATTTTCTCCGAAAAATAAGTTGAAAATCGCTTTTATTTTATCAAATGTAGATTCACGAAGTTCTCGTTTATCCTCCGGAAATGATTCCGGGATAAAAATGATTATTACTATATTTAGTGCTAGCATTACGCCGGAAGTAAGCATAGGGTAAAAATAACCGGTGTCTTCGATAAAATATCCTGTTGCAAAGCTCACTATAGTCATGGCTGTTCCATTTATAAGTTCTATCATAGCTATTCCAAAAGACCTTTGTTTTCCTTTCGGCGGAGTGATATCTGCCACATATGCAAACGTCACAAGAAGCATGGTTGCCATAAATCCCGTTAACCCTTCGACAAAAAATCCTATTAAAAGGTAATAAAGATTTAAATCAAAATAAATCCCTGCAGTACACACGGCAGTTCGAATAATTGCGCCAAAACACGGTAAATAGAAGAGAAACTTGCGTCCAAACCGATCTGAGCTGGAACCCAACAATATGCTTGCAAACAAGGTTGGAATCCCTGTCGCCAGGTTGTAATACATGTTCCAATTAGACGCTTTCTCTTGCACTGAAACTTGTAGCTTATAATGTGGATCGCTCGTGTTAGAGAAACAATGCAATGATAAATTAAAATTGTCTTTATCTGGAAACATTTCCTTTTGTAGTCGGTTGTAAATGTACTGTACAAAAGATGCAGACGACATAGCGTAAGCGCCCATATAGAGAAAACAGTACATTATTATAAGCCATTTCCGCGGCGAAAGTTTGGGAGACGATCGTATCAGGTACACAGAATCAGAAGAGGTACCCACAAGTTGAGGCACAGGTGAATCTGCGTGACTAATGGTTGCTAAACCAGACGACATTCTTCGTTCTAGAATAGACTTTGGCACGTGCATTTTATTGTAATCATCAGAGTCGTAGTCGTCATATGTAATTAAAGATCCATGCCGTGAGCCATAGGCGTTGATCGAGTTACTCCGTGATGGAACGTATGAAGAACTGTACGACATTGTCTCAAATTACAGCATACATTGACTGAAAAACAAAAATATGAATTTATTATATATGTAATAATAAATAGAATTTCGGGATATTCATGTTGGGATAAAGTTGGAGACTCTTAAATACAGTTACCAAGTAAAAATATATTCGTGGAATGGAACTCTGTTTAGCAAATTGAAAGTGAAGCTGGCATTGTAAAGGTCATATGAGGACTCTCAATCTTCAAACCAACGGACAAACGAGAACACCTGGTTGAGACGACAGTCCTGCGTCACAAGAAATATAATTCATCATCTTACAGTGGTGAGGATGTAATAAATTAGCTATAGTTATACATGTATACAGCCAGCTATTGAGCAGTATCTATCATTAAAGCAATAATGTTAAGTAAGGAAATAATACGAGGGTTGTCCGGAAAGTTCATATCCTCTTTTGATATTAATAAACGAAAATTTGGCTGTATTGTACAGTACATTTAACTAATTCTTTAACTATCCCTACACCAATAGAATGGCCAGTTTTAAAATTATCACTATACCGGACTGACCAGTGACAAAACTACAACTATACCGGAATGACCAGTCGAAAACTTCCACTGTACGCGACGGACCTGTTATATAAGTACCACTTTACCGGAATGAACATTTCTAGAACTACCACCATACCGGACTGACTAGCCATAGAACTTCTACCAAACTGGATTGTAAATAACACTATTCTGGATTGACCAGTCAAAAAACTACCTGTCCATGTACCTGACTGACCACTTCCAGTACAACATCTAGACCTGTCCGACAAGTCCTCAAACTATCTTTTATACCGGACTGACCAGCCCTATTATTATACCTTAAACCGGACTTACAAGTCCTATAACTAAACATTACACCGGATTGACAAGCCGCATTATTATACCTTATACCGGATTGACCAGCCGCATTATTATACCTTATACCGGACTGACCAGCCTTATTACACCTTATACCGGATTGACCAGCCCTATTTTTATACCTTTTACCGAACTGATAAGTCCTATAACAAAACCTTACACCGGACTGACCACTTTAAGAAGACTGACAAGTCCAATAACAAAATTTTATACCTGACTGACCAGTCCTATAACAAAACCTTTTACCTGACTGACCAGTCCTATAACAAACCTTATATCTGACTGACCAGTCCTATAACAAAACCTTATACTGGATTGACACGTCCTATAACAAAACCTTATACTAGACTAACAAATCCTATAACTAAACCTTATACTAGACTAACAAATCCTATAACAAAACCTTATACTGGATTGACACGTCCTATAACAAAACCTTATACTAGACTAACAAATCCTATAACTAAACCTTATACTAGACTAACAAATCCTATAACTAAACCTTATATTAGACTAACAAATCCTATAACTAAACCTTATACTAGATTGACACATCCTATAACTAAACCTTATACTAGACTAACAAATCCTATAACTAAATCTTATACTAGACTAACAAATCCTATAACTAAACCTTATACTAGACTAACAAATCCTATAACAAAACATTATACTGGATTGACACGTCCTATAACAAAACCTTATACTAGACTAACAAATCCTATAACAAAACCTTATACTAGACTAACAAATCCTATAACAAAACCTTATACTAGACTAACAAATCCTATAACTAAACCTTATACTAGACTGACAAATCCTATAACTAAACCTTATACTAGACTAACAAATCCTATAACAAAACCTTATACTACACTGACAAATCCTATAACAAAACCTTATACTGCACTGACAAATCCTATAACAAAACCTTATACTAGACTGACAAATCCTATAACTAAACCTTATACTAGACTGACAAATCCCATAACTAAACCTTATACTAGACTAACAAATCCTATAACTAAACCTTATACTAGACTAACAAATCCTATAACTAAACCTTATACTAGACTAACAAATCCTATAACTAAACCTTATACTAGACTAACAAATCCTATAACTAAACCTTATACTAGACTGACAAATCCTAGATTTACCACCATGATTTAAGATAACTGCTTACCATATTAATAATCCAGACTTTCATAATTATATTCTTGATTAAAGGTTCTTAATGACCATTTTACCTAAAACTGTCCTTAAAACATCTTTATATAATTAAAAACACGTGGACTTTAATGTTTAAATGAGTACACTAATTTTTTCCACAAGATTTATCACCAGATGAGAAGTCATATGACATCAATGAACGAGCAATTGGGTGCAGTGTCACTGTTGTACAGCGTTCACCGGATATAGCCACTCAAAAAATCGAAAACGAAAGTAAAACGATTTTCGTCGAGTGCACCCGAGGTAATGATTAAACCTGGGATATACGATAACTTATCGTATGTCCCAGATTAAACTTATTTCTCCATCATAACTTAATTGATTTTTCCAAACTAAACAAATTTGTGAAGTTGATTTTGTCTGGTTTTAGAGCAGTATTTGCTTTTTTCTGCAAATTGAATACTTTTTGTTAAATTGAAGATAAATTGTAGCATTCTTGCTGACATTTTCGAACGATATTGATATTTACCATAAAACAAACCCAAAACGCATTTTCTGTATCAAAATCCGTCTTTAAAACAAATTATAGACTCGAATACAAGAGGAGGGAAGTCTATATTTTGTATTTAAGACGGATTTTGATACAGAAAAACGCGTTTTGGGCTTGATTTTATGGTAAATATCAATATCGTTCGCAAATGTCAACAAGAATGCTACAAATGGAGAAATAAGTTTAATCATTACCTCGGGTGAACTCAACGAAAATCTTTTTACTTTCGTTTTCGATTTTTTTGAGTGGCTATTTCCGGTGAACGTTGTACATCAATGAGTGTTGATAGATAGATATACATCGTATAATATAAACTGATAACATACGTATGAACAGATAATCAATTGGTCTCAATAAATGACACGATCATAATCGAATATTGTCTTAAATGAATTTTTAAAGTCAATCCTGTAATGTTTGGTCAAAATATGACTTGTTTAGGATTAAACAATAAGGTAGATAGACATATTGTCATCATAAAAGCTCACCTATGGGATGAGTTTGAATGGACACAATTCAATTGAAGAAGTACGCAAGTCCAGAAGAAAATACCCGGCTCTCACTAAGACAATAAAATCAAGTTCATTATTGACAAAAAGCCAGATAATCCCTTGTGGAGCCTGTATATTGTTTTTCAAAAGGGTCGACTTAAGCGATTTTCCAGCAACCAACTTAAAACCACCAGACTGGTTTTCAATCTACTAACATCTGACCGTGTCAACTATGAAGTTTTTTCTTACTGCTATAATACACATTTTTAACATTTTTTTTGACACATGATGAACTTTACACCAGCTTGAATCGGAAGTTTGATATGTATACATAGATACTGTACGGACGGACAGAACGACAGAAAACTTCATTACTATCGTATCGAAACTTCATATCTTATCGTCATACCTTTGTATATATATAATGATTTTATCATGATCATGTGAATTTCATGCATTTTTTTCGTTCATCATGCAGATAATTGTGATACTGTACAAAAAAGCTACAACATCCGAATACAGCTACGATAAACGACGAATAAAGCACCCCAAACCAGAAGGATCCCCCCATCCAGTCCGTGTTACAACACCAAAAAATATTATTAAAAGTCAATTTCCTATTCATAACAATAATATGACACTTTTGAACAATTCTCATTATACCTCAATAGCATTAGTTAAAATAGAATAGAATAATATTCTAATAGAATAATATTCTAAGGTACTTTATTATCGCCATTATCAATGTATCAGTGATATATTTTGTTTTTGAAACAATGACATGAGGACCCCATCCAATAATTCCATCTATATCACGCACACATACGCATACACACAAACGTAGGCTTACTAGTCGCAAATCTACAATATGAAAGCCAATTACTTTTAATAAGAACTTAATTATAACAAATATAACGAGGTTATAAATTATAAATTTTTCTAGATAAAACAGAGCTTTGGCGTAAGCTCAGATGTGTTCGTTAAGTTAGGGGAATACGATTCCTGTATTTGTTATTTTATTTTTAACATTGTCAATTAGAATATAAGTAAATCACAATACATCATATAAATCATCTGGATAAATATCACTTATCTAATTTATTGTCAAATAAATTCATTTTTTGATAAGCGTGGTTATCTTTTGTTATGCTAATGACCATTCGTAGATCAATATCAGAGACAGTTTGACAATCATATATTTGGAGATATAGAATATGATAACTTTATAACTTATTTTATTTACAAATCCCTCATTTCTTCCTAAAGTAGGTAAATCTATATAAGTAGATTTAATATTACGTTGATATAATTATACCTTTTTATAGGCGATCAAATAAGCTCGGCATTTGATAAATTGAAACAAAAATGTTTAAAATTTGCTCATTGGTAATTATTTTACAATATTTGGACTTACCTGTTTGTAGCGTTGTTTGTAAACTATTACTAAAAACGTGAATGGCCTCCCGTTTAAAGAAGCCGTTAGTTTTTATTTTTATTTGGTTGTTTCAAGTATTTCAATAATCTTATCTTGGAAAAAAGCATGATATCAGTTCTGCACTCTTCAAAACAGCGTGCCCATGGTCCAAAGAGCTTTTTATAACGCACCAGTGACGTTTGTTTCTAGAGCGAACCGGTAACCTTGCGGTATTGAGGGGTTTCCTTATTGTTTATGTATTTTATTGACGGCAAATTTCATATCCACCTTAATTCTCTTGATTTGACAATTACACTTGTATATGAAACGATTTATCTAAAACTGACATATTTTTTCCTGTAAAAAAACTGAGTACCGCTTTAACAATATTAATATTAATGGGAAAAACAACAAACTACAAGAAAACGAATCTTTGAGACTCTTTTTTTCCAATCATTTTGTCTTGAGCAGTATATTTTGTAGGTATGTAGTTCCAATATCCGACAACAAATCCAATATCAAAATCAGGCATATCTAAGCATCATTTGTTCAGATCAAAACTAAATATACGCTGTTGTGAAAATAGGAAACGTAATCTTGAAACGTTGTTTCGCCTATCATTTACATACATTATTGTTGTTACTAGTTTGTTTGTTGTTGTTGTTGTTGTGATTTTTCATCTAAATGTAGTATTTAAAAAGAATATTGTTCCTTTATTTATTTTTCCATCTATTATGTAAAATACGTATGATATTTTGTTGTTGTTGTTTGTTTGTTTTACAATTACTTTGTTAAAAGAAAACTTTGGCCTGACAATCATTAATTTTGAAACTCTTATATGAATCTTTCATCTATTTAAAACTACAATTATAGTTCAATTTAACGTAATAATATATCTAAATTAATACTTATTTAAAAAAAAACATTAATTCTTTTAGTTGTAACAGCTTCACTGGTTTGGTAAAATGTAAAATCACATTTATAAAATGTGTTTTTTTTTCTTTTTGTGTCAATTTTCAAACACAAGAAAACTGAACGCAAAAAAAATCAGCATTGGCATACTCAGTGTCTTTCAAGGAGACTTTAAAAGGCCCTGGCCTACACTGTATTCGAGATGTAAAAAAAAACTCCAACAGGAAAACAGTTATTTATACAATTTACTTACGCTGTGTCGGCTTCGTCAAATCTCAATCACAGTCTTATTTCCTCCAATGAACGCCAAGCAGGCTTAAAATGTCAAATATTATTCGTTAATTTTACACACGTGACTTCAGTTAAAGGTAAGAAAGGAAAAAAAAAACATAGAATCAGTTCCTCCTATTGTCTTTTTCCTACATATATAATAATCTCCAGAAGACTCAAAGAAAAGACAAGTCTAGTTTGATTTTTTTTCCACAGGGGTTTGTTATACTCAATAACAATTATAATCGTCCTTTAGAAATGAAATGAAAAATATGCAATCGCACTAGGAATATTTTGTATGGGTAAACTATTTTTATTCATTTATTTTTTTTTTTTAATTTATTTTTATTTTATTTTCTTTCTTTCTTTATTTTTTTTTATTTTTGTTTTGTTTTATTTTATCTATTTATTATATAAGCTGTATGTAATTTTTCGGACGAAGCCAGTCTGTTTTCAGTTTGACTTCCTGTAAAATGGACAGGGAAGGACTGAATATAAGAAGAGGTTTCATTGGTCGTTTTAAAATTACAATCTGAATTCGGTGAATCTCATTGGTCATTCTAAAATAAAATGTAAAAGATAGTTCTTACCATATAATTTTAAGGACAGCTCTAAAATAAAAAATAAGGAAAAGTTTTTGCCACTATAAAATAAAATGTAAATGATAGTTTTTAAATAAAATGTACAGGAATGAGGAAAGTTCCTAAACTTTTAGGTTAATTTGTAAATCAAACGTCAAAGTCAAACGTAAAACAAGTAAAAGGGACACCTTAATTAGAAGTTGTCCTTCTTTGAAAAAATAAAACAACATCAATATCAATATGCTATAATTAAATGTTTACAAGATGGGTATTTTCTTAGCTACAAGAAATAATCATTGTAATGGAAGCATTGCTAACATTTCATTTTGTATTGAAAACTAAGAAATAACATAATTTTGCATGTTAACCAGTTTTACTTTGGCCGAGTGTTTTTTTTAAAAAGATGATTCTTGTTTGTTTTCAGATTACCATGAATTACTTGGTGGGATCACTAATTATATTGGCTATATGTCACGTGAGGACTGATGTCAATGATATATGGAACAGTTTTAAGACAAATGGCGGCAAAGTAAACAAAACAAATCTTTTTATTCAATATGAAAAACTATGCCCAATTCTTAATGGAAGATATGCATGGAAGAAAGATAAGAATTTAACGGTTCAAAAAGGGGAGTGTTTACTTGAAAATTGTAAAGATACGCTGGAATGCCAACTTCTTGACAACTGTTGTCACACCAGTTCCTTTGGATATTTAGCAACATCTTTGTTTGATCCATCGGTTTATCCTAAGCAAGGTGTATATCAACATTATCTACTAGTCGACCATTGTCCATACGATATTATTGATGAAATAAAACTGAAGTGTGAACGTTTAGGAACGAGCCCTGTTACTTCAATAAACACTCTAATTATTTACAAAAATTCATTTTGCGCACATTGCCACGGCGAGCCTGATACGATCGACTGGAAACTTGTATTTGATTGTCCAAACGCAAATCGAGCACAAACCCGATTTAATCTTCTCAACGATTGTTTCATACTGTATAAACCTCAAAGCCCGCACAGACCTCCAAGTTTGGTTCCCAGAGAGTTTAGTAATCTACGGTTGCATAAATCACCTTTAATCTCTAAGTGCAACGTAACGGGTTTATGGAAACACTTTGATAATGATATTGACTGGGCTTGTCGAAGATTTAACAGAGGGTATAAACACTTTAAAAACCTATATTGTTACATCTGCAACCCAAGCGTCGTTTCCACTCGATCTGTAGACAAGAAATCACTTATAAGTACATGTAATGAGGGTTCTCCACAAGGTGATGAACTTAATCAAACCAAACTGTTATCTCAAACTAATTCTTCAATACCGGAAATGTGCAAATCCTCTGATATTGAGCCTCGACTGAGTCCATATAGAAACGCATACTGTCTGTCGTGCAATGATAAACTGACTGAACATATTTACTCAAACATAGGAAAATTTGAAATAATTGGCTCTGGTGCCAAATCCTTTCTGTTACAAGTAACACTTGCTAATGAAATCAATAGCAAATTTACAGCCGATGCTTTTAGAAAAAGAGTTGAGAGTCTCTTGAAACTTTTTGTTAAAGACACGAAGAAGGTAAACGTTCCTGCTAAAACTGTTGTTGGTGAAAGAGATGGAATAAAGAGAGTAAACATCAAAAACCAACAAACATTGACTAAAGACTGGTCTAAAATGTGTCCATTTGATCCGGTCTGCTCTGGATCACATCATGATTTAAATATTACAATATGGAAAAATAGATGTGTACCATACTGCACTTGTAACCAAACTTGTCTGCTTTCAAAAACTCTGCAATGTTGCTTCGATAAATACCTACAATATAATGTACACTCATGCCTTCAAGAATCACATTTCCCTGTCCTCATCAACCCCGATATTGAAACATCTGATGAGGAGATAAGTCAAATAGTTGTAGACAAATGTCTCCCTGGAATTGAAGACAACAATTACAAACTTAAGTGCAGCAGTGACGATGATTCTGACTATTTGATAAACATTCCGGTAACAACAAGCGACACATCTCTGCTACCATTTAGGAATATATACTGTGCTTTATGTAATGTCGATGTAAACGACGTAAGCGACGTTAACGTATACCTGAGAGCGCGATGTAAACAGTTTTTAGAGATAGAACTACTTCCAACTGTTCCAGATGTCATAGAGGCAATTAAATATCACGATTGTAAAGTGACATTTGCATTGAATGACCGTTTATTAAGGTATGATGAATGCACATTAAATACTGAAACCATTGTACAGAAGAAACTAGATTTTGTTTGCCTTCATGACTCAATATCAACAGGCAATGGACAAGATATTGACAAATTATGTAACGACAATGAATTACCATTTGTAGTTAATTCTATGTCGCGTAAATATGTACAGTGCGATACTTGCAATAAACTCCTCGAACGGAGGTACACGAGAATAAGTACACTTATCCAATGTAGAAGTCATAATGATTCGACCATATGGAATGAGTATATGTGCTTTGTTGAAGATGATGTCTGGCTGGAGTACGCTCGAACTGGTTCAAACTTTAAAGTATTGAACAGTTACAGAAGCTTGTTCAACATTAGGAACCTCGATTTTGAGCGTCTAAAACAGATAGATTACAAAGAATGCCGACATGGAACATTTGACATTGAAATGGTAGGCCATCTATTTTATTTAGCTTTTTTTCAATTTTTCTTCATGCAATTGTATCATGCAGTTTCTATTTTAGTGTATTCTGCTATTGACATATCTCATTTATAAATACTAAGATATATTACATATAAAACTTGTTTGATTTTCTAGCAATATTTTTTCTATCGTGTATTCGTCTTTGTTTCTTGTTACCAAGGCAACCTGACGGAAACATACTGCACAAACATGTTCTACAGTCGATTTTTACTTCTGCTTTTAAACCAGCTACCTAAACCAGGCCCTCACATATATAAAGTAACAGATAGCCAACCCATCTGCATGTGTGGTCTTTGATGTATTCTTATTTATTTCGGTACATTTTAGAGATTGCCACACAATCAGTCTCCAATCTGAGACACATGTATTCTTGATAAGTGATAGAAACGGCGTAAATATCATTACAGAAAAGAAGTTCATAAAAACATCAACTCATAACTAATTTTGTGTTTCAGGGTTTATGTAGACGTCTGTACTGTAGCAGTGGTCGACTTCTTGAAAATGACACATGTACCAATGTGTTTGAATCTGTTATTAACACCACATTCCTGCTACGTTTGACCCTCAAGCCATGTGAATGGAGTATGCATGAAACGGAAATAGGCATAGGCCATAGAAAGCTTCCAATAATAGATAAAACTATGGAAATAAGAACTGAAAGCATTTGCCAAGGCATGTACAAAGTTGTTGAAGACATTTTGGGAAATGAAACTGCGTCTTCGTATATGCATTGCAGCGTTAAGGTATACAATTGTACAGCAAAAACACACAACATGCACGATGATTTTGATGTTTTCAAAATTTCACAAAATACCAGAATTGATGTAAATATCAGTGTAAACGTAAAGTTGTCCAGCCAAAAATCTCACATTGAAACGCAGTTGTACTATCTAACGCAAACGCGCATGTTCCGAGTAACTCCGGAAGTTTTATGTCCTAGTCCTCAAACGTTTGTCAAAGATAGTTTACTCTGTAGTGAACAATCTCTCATCATCCCAAATGATACGTATGAGTATGATAATACAATTTACTACCCTGTTAACGTAAAGAAAACACTTTTTTGCCCTCATGTTAAGATCAAAGTTACCAATACATCAATTGATAGAACATCTGGGAACATTGTGTTCAATTATCTCAGTCATGAACTATCTGTCCCTATTGATAGTGTTGAAACCGTCAATACAATCAACGTGCAAACAACACTATGGGTGTGTAAGAATGACGTACACTTTCCCGAGCATATACACGTATATCAAAGGCAAGGAAAAGACCTAGAGAAAGCATATTTCTTATTCAGTACAAGTTGCAATATTGTCTCATTGCTAAGTCTTACTGTTACCTTACTAACTTACTCAATGTTGAAGGTTTTGCGGACTGTCCCTGGCAGAAACAATATGAACTTGGCATTTTGTCTTTTGTTAGCTCAGGCAAGTCTTCAGTTTCCTCACGAGTCTCCAAGTTCAGACTCTAGCGGTCCAACTATTCAATGTCAAGCAGTAGGTGTGTGCGCTCACTATTTTTGGCTTGCTACATTTTTTGCTTTAAATGTTTGCTCTTTTCATATGTATAAAGTATTTTCGGGACGGCTAATGCTTACCCAAAGCCAAACAAAATCAGTTTTTCCTAAATATACAATTTATGTGTATGGGAGTCCCTTTTTGGTAATATTAGCAGTCCTATCGGTGAATATGGCAGCTCGTGGTATTACCGGATATGGTCTCTACCGTTGCTTTCTGGACGACTTGTACTACGTTATCGTCACATTCGTGTTGCCCTCTTGTTTGATTTTTGTGTCAAATACAATTTTTTACGTAAAAACTTTTTATATTATCTATAATTCACCAACACTTCGCTGTAACTTGGAAGAGCGCAGTACATTGGCAATCTATGTCAAGCTTTGTACATTAACGGGTATGACATGGCCTTTGTTGTTTATTGACGCTTTATTTCCATTGTCTGTGTTTTCTTTCATTGCGACATTCACAAATGCGATGCAAGGTTTCTTTATTTTCATTTCTTTCACATGTAACAGGCGTGTCTTAAATTTGTACAAACGTTCCCTGTCAGGAAAACAAGAAACGAATACTGTATCAAATAATCTAGATACTTTGAGCAGAGGTCAGTCTCTGAAAAGGTCACATCAATAAAAGTTTTTGTTCGTCAAAACGATTTCTGTTAATGATTGTTTTTGTTTTGTTTTTTGTTTTTTTTTTAGTCGTGTTCGTTTGTGATGATATTGCCGTCACCACCTTTCTATGACGGGGTTTAATTTTTTCAGAAATAAATCTATTACATATTACCGTATAACTGCTCCAAGACAAAACTGCATTTGCGGCCACCTGTATATAACGTTAACCTGTCTGTCTGTTTATGTATATTTTTCAATAAACAAAACAGCTTTTTGAGACAGAGTTGAAAAAATAATGTTAAGAACTGAATTTTATACTTTATAATTATGCTTTTATGTCTGTGAGCAGAACTTAATTGTCATACATTATTTAAAGAAGTGTAAATAATGTGAATAAATCATACAAAACTTGAATTTGTTAACTGTTTCATATTGAAAGTGTCCACTTGAAAAAAGACACCGTCTTTAAAATAAATGCATGTAAATTCTACATATTTTACTTTAAAAATGCCCTGTATATTTTATAAGAAAGTGAATTACTTAGTTTAACGTCGTACATTTAATTATTTTCCGTAAACAGTAACATGTACGATGTATTAACTTCTTAAGTATGTCAACGTTATGATATTGTTGTAATTAAGAGCTTACATAATAGCTTTGTTATTGGACTGAAGACTGTCATACTGGCCTCGTTATTGGACAGGAGACTGTCATTTTGGCCTTGTTTTTATATTGGCCTGGGACCTTTAACATTATATCAATATGATAAGAACTTTTATTGCTAAATTATACAGAAATATTGAATATCGTGTGAAAACTGCTACTCTTTTGTGTTGTTTACTAAAAGATTAAAGCAAATCTTTTTCTTTACCATCACAGTCGACTTCTATCGACCATGTTTATAGCAAGTATACAATGCCAGCATTCAATGACCGTATTATTTCAGCTTTTATTTGATTCCTGTAGAGTAAGCTTTAATTGTACATTTATACATGAATACCTGAAAGACGTAGACAAATATTGTGTTTGTTTTTAATGTAAAATTCTGGAATAAATCAATTGCCTTTATGACAAGAATGAAAAAGCTAGATTTGTAAACAGTAACCAGGTTGGACTGGTACAGAGGATCGATTGATTCGCGCTATGGGAACCTTATCGATTCTACCCGCTCATAGCCTTTTAATTGAAATCTGTTGCGACAGAATCAAGATCAAAAGCAGACGCGCTATTGATACTTTAAAAATGGAAGCTGTTTTAATTTATACGGCTTTACTGTGTTGGATAAGTTGTCAGAATGGTAAGTTCTAAGTTCCAGGTAAATATAAGCTCATTTTCTTTAATGAACGAAGTGTCAAAATTAAAATTAAATTAATTGTTAGATTATTGTTATCCGATCACAGCATTATAAATTTTCAAATTTCCGATTAAACGATAAGTGAAATCGTATGGGTTACGGATTCGAACGCCTGAGTTTTCCTATTATCATCGTCATCATCATCATCATCATTATTATTATTATAATTATTATTTTTTTTATTATTATACCGATACAGCGATGGTACAGGGGACGACATGTTACAGAGAAGAATCACTGGGTGATAGAGATGGTAATGTGTATATTTGTGATGATGAGAGTAAACCCGAGTGTTGTGAGGAGAATGAACAGTTCACGTGCTGCGAGTCGCAGTCAAAGAAAACATGGTAAATATTACACTAGCATAATCACGTGGTATTGGCCGTCATTTACTCGTATTGGTCGAGTTTTGAAGTTTATTGGTATAAATTGAAAAATTCGGACAGATTCTCGCTTAACATTATAAAAAATTTATTTATAAGGCAGCAAATAAATAAGTTATTTCTTTATTGGAGCGTGTTTTTTTTAAAGCAAGCTGTTAATATTAATTTTATAATATATCTTTAACATTTTATGATTTAATGTATATTTCAGGAAAGAGCAACTGATATTATGGGGAACTGTGGGTGGTCTAGTACTACTAGTAAGTCTGACATGTTGTTATTTCTGGAGGGATAATGTCTGTAGTAAAAGCGATACAAGTCTGGCACACAGATGCTGCACATGCTGCAAGAAAGTGTAAGTTCTAATATGATGTTAATAAATAAGTGTTTTCATAATGGCTTTGTTATTGGGCTTAAAAATGAGATATTTGCCTGAGGGCAAAGGCCGAGTCTAAAGCCCAATAACAAGGCCATTAAGAAAACAATTATTGACAATTCCATTAATTTACTACACATAATCTAAAAAAGTTAAACACTAAGTGAACAAAAAATAACTTATGTGAAATTCCGTTGTTGTGAAGCATTGCAAACGAGATTCTTATTTTAAAAATGTCTCGGAAACCTACCTTGCAGCAATTCAAAATGGCGACTTTTTTTCAATAAAAAAAGCACATTCATAATGGCCGAGCTGGAGAGTCAATCAAAATCCTACAACATAAAAGTCGTATTTTTTGACAATGTTTTATGTTCATAATGTCGTGGTAAACTTCATATTAGCCTTACATTTCTTGAAAGTGAAAACGTGCCTAATTTTGAAAAGTTAATTAATAAAGAATCATTATCACTGGTGTGGAACGATGGAAATGCGTGAAAGAGAATTATTATAATATATATATATGACGGCTAGATGAATTTGGCTTACATATCAAAATTTCTTTTTCAGAGAGAAGGAAGATCAGAAGCCTTTTTCATCTGTACCAGAGCCAGGGTCCTCCAGGATGTCTCACTTTTCACCCAAACCTTGGAGGTTTGCCGGTCAGGGTATCAATGATGATGACAGAGATTCGCCGGCTCCAGCGTTCCATTTCAAACAACCCACATATAAAAAGTATTAGGAGTCAAAAACTGTGTTTTTTAGCTCACCTGTCACAAAGTGACAGGGTGAGCTTTTGTGATCGCTTTTCGTCCGCCGTCCGTCCGCCGTCCGTCCGTCGTCCGTAAACTTTTACTTTAAATGACATCTCCTCATAAACCACTAAGCCCTGGGGTCAAAATTGGCCCCGCCCCAGGGGGTCATTGATTTTCCCTATATGCATATATAGTAAAAACTTAAAAAATCTTCTTTTAAAGAACCCAAAGAGCTAGAGCTAAGATATTTAGCATGAAACATGTTCTAATGGATGTCTACCAAGTTTGTTCAAATAAGAGCCCTTGGGTCAAAATTGGCCCCGCCCCGGGGGTTACTGATTTTCCTTATATGTGTATAGCAAAAACTTAAAAATCTTCTTGTAAAGAACCCAAAGACCTAGAGCTAAGATATTTGGCATGAAACATCCTCTAATGGGTGTCTACCAAGTTTGTTCAAATAAAAGCCCTGGGGTCAAAATTGGCGCCGCCCCAGGGGGTCATTGATTTTCCCCATATGCATATAGTAAAAACTTAAAAAATCTTCTTGTAAAGAACCCAAAGACCTAGAGCTAAGATATTTAGCATGAAACATCCTCTAATGGGTGTCTACCAAGTTTGTTCAAATAAAAGCCCTGGGGTCAAAATTGGCCCCGCCCCAGGGGGTCATTGATTTTCCCTATATGCATATAGTAAAAACTTAAAAAATCTTCTTTTAAAGAACCCAAAGAGCAAGAGCTAAGATATTAAGCATGAAACTTGTTCTAATGGATGTCTACCAAGTTTGTTCAAATAAGAGCCCTGGGGTCAAAATTGGCCCTGCCCAGGGGGTCATTGACTTTTCTTATATGTGTATAGCAAAAACTTAAAAAATCTTCTTTGAAAAAAACAAATAGCTAGAGTTTAGATACTAAGTGAGTGTCTACCAAGTTTGTTGTAATAAAAGCCCTGGGGTCAAAATTGGCCCCGCTCCGGGGGTCATTCATTTTCCTTATATGTGTATAACAAAAACTTAAAAAATCTTCTTTGAAAAAACTCAAATAGCTAGAGTTTAGATATTAAGCACGAAGCATCTTCTAGTTAGTGTCTACAAAGTTTGTTCAAATAAAAGCCCTTGGGTCAAAATTGGCCCCGCCCCGGTGACATTGATTTTCCTTATATGTGTATAGCAAAAACTTAAAAATCTTCTTTGAAAAAACCCGAATAGCTAGAGTTTAGATATTAAGCATGAAACATTTTCTAGTAAGTGTCTACAAAGATTGTTCAAATAAAAGCCCTTGGGTCAAAACTGGCCCTGCCCCAGGTGTGTCATTGTTTTTAACTATATGTGTAAAGAAAAAACTTGACCAGCTAGACCTTAGATGTTTAGCATGAAACATCTTCTAATGGGTGTCTACCAAGTTTGTTCAAATAAGAGCCCTGGGGTCAAAATTGGCCCCGCCCCGGGGGTTACTGATTTTCCTTATATGTGTATAGCAAAAACTTAAAAATCTTCTTGTAAAGAACCCAAAGACCTAGAGCTAAGATATTTAGCATGAAACATCTTCTAATGGGTGTCTACCAAGTTTGTTTAAATAAAAGACCTGTGGTCAAAATTGGCCCTGCCCCAGGGGGTCATTGATTTTCCCCATATGCATATAGTAAAAACTTTAAAAATCTCCTTTTAAAAAACCCAAAGACCTAGAGCTAAGATATTTAGCTTGAAAGATCCTCTAATGGGTGTCTACCAAGTTTGTTCAAATAAAAGCCCTGTGGTAAAAATTGGCCCCGCCCCAGGGGGTCATTGATTTTCCCTATATGCATATAGTAAAAACTTAAAAATCTTCTTTTAAAGAACCCAAAGAGCTAGAGCTAAGATATTTAGCATGAAACATGTTCTAATGGATTTCTACCAAGTTTGTTCAAATAAGAGCCCTGGGGTCAAAATTGGCCCAGCCCCGGGGTCATTGACTTTTCTTATATGTGTATAGCAAAAACTTAAAAAATCTTCTTTGAAAAAAACAAATAGCTAGAGTTTAGATACTAAGTGAGTGTCTACCAAGTTTGTTGTAATAAAAGCCCTGGGGTCAAAATTGGCCCCGCTCCGGGGGTCATTCATTTTCCTTATATGTGTATAACAAAAACTTAAAAATCTTCTTTGAAAAAACTCAAATAGCTAGAGTTTAGATATTAAGCACGAAGCAACTTCTAGTTAGTGTCTACAAAGTTTGTTCAAATAAAAGCCATAGGGTCAAAATTGGCCCCGTCCCGGTGACATTGATTTTCCTTATATGTGTATAGCAAAAACTTAAAAATCTTTTTTGAAAAAACCCGAATAGCTAGAGTTTAGATATTAAGCATGAAACATTTTCTAGTAAGTGTCTACAAAGATTGTTCAAATAAAAGCCCTTGGGTCAAAACTGGCCCTGCCCCAGGTGTGTCATTGTTTTTAACTATATGTGTAAAGAAAAAACTTGACCAGCTAGACCTTAGATGTTTAGCATGAAACATCTTCTAATGGGTGTCTACCAAGTTTGTTCAAATAAAAGCCCTGGGGTTTAAACTGGCCCCGCTCCGAGGCCTATATACAGGTGAGCGACTTCAGGGCCATCATGGTCCTCTTGTTTTCTATTTTTAAAGAATGTCTGATAAAAGTTATTAATTTTATAACATTCTAATGCCTGCAGAAGCATTCAGCCATGGTGAATAAATTATATAGGCTGGTGCCTTCAAAAATGCTGTGATGTTGATAAAAACCTAAAGCTTATACTGACAGCCTTGGTGAAATGACAGCCATGGCTATCATATTCTACAGTACAGATTGATATCTTAAAATCAGCCATGGCGATCATTTACTACGGTACGAGACACTTTGAAAACATTCAGCCATGGCTATCATATTCTACAGTCCAGAATGATACCTTAAAAATCAGCCATGGCGATCATTTACTACGGTACTGAGACACTTTGAAAACATTCAGCCATGGCTTTCATATTCTAAAGCACAGAATGATACCTTAAAATCAGCCATGGCGATCATTTACTACGGTACGAGAAACTTTGAAAACATTCAGCCCTACAGTACAGAATGATACGTTTAAAAAACATTCAACAATGTGAGGATCGTAACTTAGTTTGCTTGCAATATTTTACTGGTAAATTAAACTTAATGCCACTAAACGATAAATTGTGGCGACATTTGTGAATTATCCGATTTTTCTGTTACGCTTGGTTATTCAAATTGATACAGTCCTTTATCTTTATATTTTGTTATTAAAATCATCTTGTACAAATGAGATTTTTTGTTTTCTATGAAATGATATCTACACAGATATTAGACATTCATTTATTATTAGTACATGTAATAACAATGCGCTTAATATAAGAACACAAATTGAACAGAAACTCCTTAACTCAGACTCTTTATCATTTACGCGAAAATGTCTTCCCGCCATTGTTGTTGTTGTTGTAACTATGATTAAAGTTGAAAATTACAAAAGGAAGCGGTAGGAGACCCATTATTCACTATAGGAGAATTATTTGTGACTCAAAAGTTGTGAGTAAACTATACGTAAAAGATCGCTTCATTACCAGATTTTAGAGATTGGTATCCTTTGGCAAGGGGTATCAATTACTTGTACATTGTATATCAATTAGTGGACTGCTTGCTAGTCTCTACCGATGATTGAATTTAAGAGATTTAAGGTTTTTCCTCCGTCTGTCTGCCATCACCCAAGTCAAAATATTTACTCGTCCGTCCGAAAATCTGTACCCCGCGATAACATAAGTATACTGTGGAAGTTTACAAATGCATAGATATCTGTAATTATCTCCCGCGTTGTTATGGTAAAGGAAACAGTTAAAATATAGCTTTGCCAAATGGATCCATTTATAAATCAAAAAGTATGAATTGAAAAATGATCACAACTGGTATTGCAATACAGGGGACTATTGTATGTCTTATCATATTTGAACATTAAATTTTTCCTACAGGATATGATTGTAAACTTTCTAAATTGATGTTGATGTTGTTAACCAAGGCTCCAAAGTTATAAAACACATCCAAGATCAACTCAAACACCAGCAAAGAATTCATATTGACCAATGGAATTCATGCGGTTTGAGACAAAACTCAAGGCCTGGGGGTTAATATTACAAAACACGTTTTTCATTTTTTGAAGCCAGTAATATAGTAGAAGAAGGTTAAGTAATACCCATATACTGTAGCCTGTATGTTTGGTAAAAGCTGTTTGCCGGCTTGACAAAAACTGCATCCTGTAATAACTTAAAGGAACTCCACTGAGGTTTATAAGCCTAAAACATAAGAATTTAATTTTCACATAGATAAACATGAGCATTTTAAACAGAAATATAAATAAGACATAACTAGGAAATACACAAGTTATACATTGAAAAATCATATGTTTGTGCTATTCTCGGTTTAAACGCTTTTCAATTTTGTAATAATTATTCTGGAAAAAACAGAGCGAGCTAATGATCTGAAATTTTGCATAGTTTTTAGTATAGATCTTCATCAAATGGAGTAATAATCTCAAAAAAATTATTTCCAGTCCCGTCATGTCAAAAACCTCAGTGGAGTCCCTTTTCAAATGTATAATAGTGAAGGGGATGAATCATAGAGCAGTTGGCCATGTGGACCTTATATAAACAAGTTACTATAATATTATCATTACTAGCGAGAAAAAAGTCATTTGTCGTGTGCAGTGTGTGGTTCTCGGTCTGTTCTCTAGTTTAAGCATGAGAGTACCCGGTGCTCTATCCAAAAGAATCATTCAATAATGTAACAATGCATGAATTTTCCCCTGGTAAAATTGTTGAAATGGAAACGGAAAGAGTAAATATGTAAAAAGTATTCCAGCCCGGATTGCATTTTTTATGCGCTGAAGAGACTACATTTTATAGTATCAAAGTTATTTTTGTTTTTGGACTAATTGTTATTGGCGTGTTAATTAGCGTTCATATATGACCTATACCAATTTTACTGAATGAAAACATTCAAACTGAAAAATATTATAAAAATTCAAACGTTTATACACGATTGTTTGAAAATAAAGATATCATAATAAATAATAAAGATGAAAATAATTCTTTTCGGGCTTATCACGGGAAATTTTCCCGTCAAAATATACATGTATAAATTATAATGACCCCGATTCGGAAAAGATGACGATTTGCGGAACAAGTCACATTCCTTCTCAACCACCTGTTAAAAAAGGCAAGCTAAGTATAAGGCAGCAGCAGTAAAAGCAAACTATTTTACTCCTCTACAACACTAATATTTCACCAATTTTTAAAACGTAAAGGGAGCATGTGTTCTGTGGTGGATTAGACATTTTTATACAGGAGTTTGGAATGATGTTCATTTTTCTTAAAAAGTTCCGGGGGGGGGGGTTGAGCAGTCAGTATTTTACAGAAAAAGCATCGCGTTTTCTAAAGCGCCATTGTGTGGGGGTCACTACGCAATGGAACCACTTTTGTACACCGTACGATATGAGAATAAGAATAAGGAAAGGTTTTTAAGTGAAATTTTTTTTTTACTTAGCCAAATAAGAAACACCATTAAATGAAATATTTTTGACTTATTAACAATATAATTAAATTTTCCAATTATCTTTATCCTGCTGTCTATTAATAATCTTTCTTCCTGGTTGTTTCCTCGCTCTCTGTGCTGTGGTGTTATTATTCAAACTTTCTGTTTCCATCTTTCTAGGCTGAATACACTCTTCTGTGTTCTTTATTTCATTTTCTATTTTATCTTTTCTTAGGTTAGGGATCTTTCTGACATACTTTCTCTGATTCCTACTGTCATGCAGACTTTTATTCAAGAGGTCTTTGTCGAAAGGTGCTACAGAAAAGGTGCGTTTCTGATTAAGCATTTTTTGTTGATTTAAAGGAAGTAAAGACTCGGCGGCTTGGTTTCTTCTTTCCATTTGTTCTGGATTACATGAAATGTTGTCTTGTTGGCTTCCAGGTATAGTCGTTTTGACAAAATCTCTTGCGGATTTCTTTGCTGATTTGTTACAGATTTGTTTAAACTTGTCTGGGGTATCAGATTCATTGCCTTCTGTTTTGTTACGCAGTTTTTGGTTTACCGATGTCACGGACAACTTTGAATTAGATGATTGGGTCGTTTGCGAAATATTTCTTTCTCTCGTGGCGCTATTTTCACGGTTAATGTTTGCTGAATATTTTTTTCTGCGTTCGCCGTTTGTTTCCGTTTGTGATTTCTCCTGTGATTTCTTTACAGCAAGTTTCCTTATATTTCTGGTTTTTGACATGCGAAATTCTTCGTCTGCAAGGCCTTTGTCTGAACTGTCGACTTTAAATACATCAGGGAGACTTGAGGGTCGACTAGACGTTGTTGATTCTATTGCTTGTACTGCAAACTTCTGCTGTCTATGCTCTGGTAAATGTGTTCGTTCCATGTCGTCCATATTGGAAATTATCAAATCCTCCCATTGGAATCCTTCTAGATCGCCTTTCATTCCTGACACATGCTTGTGTAATTTATGAACAATCTTGTTGGCTTTTCTGTGCTCTATCAAAGCTTCGTCAAGTTGCGTTTTGAGACCGTCAGTCAGGTCTTGCACCCGCGAGAACACGTTGTCAAATGAACACCTCACCTTCTTCAAAATTTTAATCCGTTTCATTTTTTCGATATTTTCCCTCATTAGGACGAAGTTTATATCGTTTAATTCGTCCGCTGCAGTTAGCATATTCTTAGAATCATCGGCAAAAGATGTGTGAGGGTAATCGTGTTGCCTCTGTTTCTGCTCTTGACCATGAGAGCGGCGACTATCCGCGTTGTGCTCGTCACTTTTAATAAAATATAATATAAAACATTAATTCTTTTATACTTAAAAATATTAAAGACATTAAAGAAAATACAATGACTGCGTTTTTGTATTTTCTGATCGTAAGATCAGTAAATACATAGCTAACATCCACGGTCTAACACAAAATTTCCTCACAGTCCTAACAACGCAAAGTAGTTCTCACTCAAAACTGCTTAAAAAACAGCAATTTAAAAGAAAGAATAATTTTTAATGTAGGCATTTAACGAATTACAGTGCATTAAAAGTTTAGATTAGTCAATAGAAATATGAGGTTACAATCACAAATTTCGCGGATGAATATCTTTTTTACCCAATGAAAAATGTTCGGCTATTTCCGTAAAGCTTCGGATTATCATGAATATCACTTTAATCAATGAAAATGCTATTTTTAGCTATGTCGATTGCCGAATACTCCAGAGCGTAGTACACAAATAAATCTGACTGTCGAGTAGTGGAATATATACATGTCGGACTGTTTTGGCGAGAAGATTTTCGCTAAATTATTTTCATCAGTGTTAAACAACAGGTTTATCGTGAACAAAATACCTCGAAATTAATAAGGATTGCAAACACGAAATGGAAATTCTCAATTTAGAATTACATAATGTATTCGTTTTTATTCAAGGTACATATGATTATTTCGCCGTGGTGCAGAGGTAAGCGGTCTCGTTGAGGGTGTGAGAGGCCTATGGTTCAAATCCTAGTCGAGGCAATTTTTTTTCATGCAAAATTCCATATGTATCAATCTCAAACTGTTATAGAAGAAAATCAAAACGCTGTCGCTGCGTAAGATGAATTATAGTATATAAAAATAAACTTATACAGGAAAGTACATACAGATAGTAAGTATGATCACGGATTTATATTACATTATATTGTAATATAAATCCGTGGTATGATTTAGATTGCAAAGATCAGAAAATACCATAGAGCTGCAGCCCTTTGATTTTTCTATAAAACCATTGTGTAATGACTTTATACTGCATGAAATTTAGTAAAAAATATTATACAGAAATTTTAGGGATTTCGGTATCATCTCAGATATCTACACCAAAGAGCCTGATCAGGCTGCACGAATGAATAAGCTTACTCACTGTTTAATTTTATCTGTATCTTTGCTATTATCAATAATAACGTAGTTTGACGGAAAGGGCCGAGGAGATGCGGTTGCAATGTAGAATATTCAAAATAGTCTACAAAACAACAACAACAACAACAATAAATGCATTACGCGTGTTTACGTATCTTAAATAATTGGTTTTATGAAATGAGTGTTATATATAGTATCAATAACTTGCCTTGTCTTAGCAGACAATCTCGTCTGCCTAGCATTGCTGTTTCGATTTTTGGTGCAGCAATCTTGGCTATATCGCCGTGTTGCCAAATCTCTCGACATCTGTTTATAGCTGAATATATCATAGAAATAGAATAAAAATTTAATTTTTAAAGAAAAGAAAAATTAAAGGCCCATTATGCATCAGAAATGCTTATATTTGTATTTCTCAAAAGCTTGTTTTTCTCTTTAATTTTGGTTTACTTTAACGGTATTGCCATCTTTTTCATCTGTTTGTTTTTGGCAATAAGTACAGTTATAGTGAATTAGAATTTTTGTATGGAAGTCAATATACTACTATGTTTACATTTTGCTACTTTTATGACAATTTTTTTTTTTCAATTTTCATCTACTTTCTTCAGATAACAAATATCTATCATTCTGGAAAACATCGTCGGATACCCACGGCCGAACCATTAACATTTATCAGCATGTTATGTAACATGTTTATCAATCGTGGGTATCCGACGATGTCTGGAAAACCATTATTTACACATTATACAATTCATACTTGCCCTTTCTAAAGACATAGAAATGTATTTGTTTCTGAGCCATAATGCCTTCAAAGGCACATTATGCTTTAGAAATTCGTATTTCTTTTCATTCTTGCGGAATGTCAAACATGTGTAATAATGGATTAAGAGCATGTTAGATGTTTATAACTGAGGAAAGTAGCGCTAAATGTGCAGTTATGTGTCGAAAAAAAGGTGCCAAAATGGACATAAATTAGTATTTTGATTTCCATACGAAATACTTATTCACTATATTATACAAATTGCCAACAGAGCAAACGAAGCAAAAGATATTTCATGTGTATGGCAAATGAGTATTGTTGGAAAGTGTAACAAGATACCAAAAATAAATAGTTTTTAAGAAATAAAAATGATAGCATAAATGAGGCATAATGGGTCTTTAAACACTTTAAACTGACATTCGACCATTTGGCAGTCAAACTACAGTATACCAGTAAAACATAATATTATTATCTCCTTATCCAGAAATAAAAATTATATGTACATCATTTTACAAATCTAAATACATTAACACATAAACATTGATAACATCTTAATTTCATAAATTAAATACCATCAAAATGGCAGAGTAAACAGTAAATATCAATTGTTAACATACATGTGATCTTTTTTACGGTAAACTGTTCTTATTTTAAAGGCAAATTGTGCCTCGGAAATCAATGCTATTTTTAATTCTTTAGAAAGGCCGAACATGTGTTATGATAGACTTTAGAGCATGTTAGACATAGACGTAGAACATAACGCGCAGTAATGTGTCGCACAGCAATGAAACAAAATACTAAATAACTATAATTTTACAAGCTGTCAAAGAGCAAAGAAGCAAAGAGAATGGTTAATCTAAATGACCAATGATTAACGTTTTGGAAACAGTTATTATATTCGGATTTTATTTTAATGAGAAAAAAAAGCATTTCGGAGACTAAGTGGGTCTTTAATACAACATTAACATTTACGGGAGATACTTTTTGATGAGTTAAAAGAATTACAATATAAACAATCAGACAATAGGATACAGTATACATGATATAACAATAAAGAAAACTGGAAACATTGTTAACGCGTCGGACTAGTAATCTATAATGCTCGCTAGCCGCATGGGTTCAAACACCGTCAGGGGCAAATCGTTGTTTCCTTGAGCAAGAAGCTTTACACTCATTGCTCAGTACTGATTAGTTCCAGGAACAGATTTAAAAGTGTATCTGTAAGCTTCTATTGTCCTACACAATCGAACTAAAATAAATTCTGTATAAACCAAACAGAACATTTGTGTAAGGAAAACCGGCGTTTGATATTAACTGAAACGTAATCATCCAACAATTCTTTTTCAAAAGTGTTATTGAAATATTATTAATTTAACTGACATTCCTTACTTTATCCGATTTGATCAATCTCTCATGCAAACTAAATGTTAGTGTATAATAATTAGTAAAAGAAAAATACCACTGTGGCGTTTAAGTTATATAAAGCGCCATGATACACATCAGCATGGGTTCCTTCCTGAATGAGTCTTCAATCCTGGTTGACAACGTCAATAATGTTATCACTAACGTCCAATATGACGTCAACAAACTACGTAAGAACAACACATGTAAATGACGTTGTTTGCGTCGACCTCAATTCAACGAAAAGAGTGATGTAGACTTAGTTAATTGTAAAAGTTTGTAACAAAATAAGCCATATATGCGCTAAACATCTTAAAAATAAATAAAACACGTCAGAAAACATATCACACAAGACCCCTTTTTTCATAAAACAAGTCAAACAAATAGAAAATATTTATATATCGTATAAGTCCACCGTTATATTATGATAAACAAAACATGCCTTAAAATATATCACATAAGATCAATACATGTGTATTTTCTAAAAATAAGCAAAACAAATAAAAACTATTTTGTTGAAGTCCATTGTTTTATTCATAGTAAGACATATATCTTATAAGACCACTATTTTCTTTAATAAGCAAAACAAAAAGAAAATATTTCATATAAGTCCATTTTGTTATTACAATAAACAAAAAAGTAAGAATACATATGATATAAGACCACTCCTCTTGAAGAAAGCATAACAAACAGAAAACATTTTAAATAGCGTTGATCAATGCTGTTTAGAAAAGGGAAGTAACTATTCGTATTATATGAATATTAGCCTAATGTAGTTATCTTTGATTTAAACATATTTTATTGCCAAAAATAAGACATATACATACATGTAGACAGTCAGTTAGAATACAATGACATGACATATTTGGCAAAAGGGTTGACCCACAAGTTCTCTCAACATTAGCAACGGGTCTTCCCTGATGCAATAAATTAGTATTAACCTATAGCTCTTCAGCGCTTCTTATGTAAAATTCTTCCAAGTATAATTTCCAATAACCGTAAATTATACCATACCCAGACTATGGTATAATTTTCAGTTTTGAAGATCGAAGGAGTAAGTGTTTCTGGGCGGAGCTATAGGTTAAAACAGATACACCATTGGTGCGTTAACGATTTCTGGGTTTGCGTAAATTATACCATAATCACGTGACCTTTCTTATGCCTTAACCTCACTCGTCGTCTCGTGAGGTTAAGGCATAAGAAAGGTCACGTGATTATGGTATAATTTACGCAAACCCAGAAATCGTCAACGCAGCAATGGTATATCTATTACATAGAAAGAGCACCGAAACACGAGGCTATCTGATTTGTACGAGGGGGCGTAGCCCCCGAGTATTTATCAGATTGCCGAGTGTTTTGGTGTTCTTTCTCTTTTGTATAATAGTCAAACATAAAAGCACGTTCCCTTTTGTCACAATATGAAACCCCGGCAAAAATGAACCAATGAACGAACATCTGAATATGACATTTCTGTCGCTTTCCCTTTCTCTGCCGTCACAATATGTAAACCCCGGCAAAAATGAGCCAATCAATGGGCATGCTCTGGAGTGCGGGTAACTAATACCCGCACTCCAGTTAACGCACTGTGCATGTATATGTATACGATTTAACCCTGACACATTTTCAACAGAAAGGTCTCCAAACTATGATACAACAATAACTTATTTTACAAGAATGACTATCAGTTAGATAGAAGTAACAAAACTCACACATATGGGGCCTATAGTACTTGGCTTTAAAAATGATTTAAGGTAAGAAAGAACAATAAAAATGATTGGGTGTACATGTTCTCTAGCTTGAATGGTATTTAACGATGTTAACTGATTTTTTTTATATATTTGCGTTACAATGAGTTATCTTTCTTCCATGATCCTGCTTTGCACGGTAACACGCTGTTTAAACATTGTAACTATTTAGAAAGAGCATACCGAATTACCTTCAAGTTTGCGAAATAGTTATTATTTTATATCTGCTAATTTTCTTGTTTGTACGAGCCATTTATCTTCCCTACGCAGTTTTCCTGTTAAATATGGAGCAACCGGGACCATAAAGAGTTATTTCGGTATGATATATTAGATAGATATCAGTCCTAAGAGATATGTCTGTGCTTAATATTACCAATTAAGACTTAAAAGTAAATACAACTATATTCAATACGCGAGTATTAACGTGCAATGCATTTTAAACTAGCAATTAGTAGCGGCCAGCCAATGGGAAAAAAATCCAATTATATTATCTCTACGAAGTATTGAAATTCACTAACTGGTTAACCATATAAACATTAAATTTCATTTTTCTTTTATACAAATTTTCAAATGAAAAACAGCAGGCGCCTTTTTAAATAGTCCTGTGCAAGCGTTTAGTAAACGAGATGTGATCAATTAAAGGGAGTTAACCGTGAAGGAATAACTTCCGTCTGCTACACACCTTCTTCACTGTGGAATTAGTGTTTGAAATGGAAACTCGTATTAATTAAAACTATGTAGATATAATGTGCATACAGAAAGGATTTAGATTATTTTTGAAATTATGATTTAAAATGTTTCATTTACAATATCCACGATTTCGTGGATTTTTCGCATGGGATGAATTAGGGTAAGTACTAATTAAGTAGCTTTAAAAGAGCGCGACACGTGACACTACAGCATGTACAGATTCAGGAGCTGGTCTCGAAATGCCTTAGTAGTAAATTAAAAAAATTTATGTATTAAATATTTTTTTCATTCAATAAAACTTAATAAATACGGTTTTCACAACAGTGGGAAATGGGTTCAAACTTCAACCAGTCCAATCTATTTCTGCTTAAGTATTTTCTGTTTTAGGTATTAATTACTTCACGGGGGTGTCATATACATGTATATCAAATATATCTTCGTATTGTCAGTATATGTTCTTATCGTCACTAATACTTCATACAGAAATAACAGTAACTCACTGTTAGGCACATTAAAATTTATAATAATGTACTGTAGTAGATCTAGACATATTTTTAAAATATCTTTTGTTAGAAATACAAAAAAAAATGTATAATTGTTTTTTCTTTCTTCAGATGCTTGTCCAGAGCTCTTGGGGTAAGTGTGGTAACTTTATTTATAGAAGTGTTTTATACTCTGTCATATCAGTCTTGAATATATACTACCCCACCCAGAGTACACCCTCTCCCCCCCCCCCATTTTCAGCTAAACCCCAAAACTATAAATAAATATCACTTTATACTTTGACATCCTTGCTTGTTTCATTATAACATTATGATTGTAAAGAATTTGCTCTTCTTTTGGAGGAGATATAGATATTTGCAAAGAGACTGTGTAACAATTATCAATGTTTTCAAATATCAAATTTGAGCATAGTAAAATAATAATAATGATAATAATAATAATAAATCTCTATATTAGGCTATAACAAATATATGCAGTATTAGATCACACATCCTCTTGTCCCTGTGTGTGCAAGTTGTTTGATTTAAATACATCAAGTTATTTTATATTAATATATTAAGCAGTTAACATAAATCATAAATGCATTTTTGTTCAATTCTAAATGTAGTATATGGTGAAAAGAAATGATTTTAGAATATAGGCAGATCATATTAACACATCAAAGGTTTAATTCACCAAATTGCTCAATGGATAAATAAACACTTTATAAATATAAACATTCATTTTATATGGTGTGTAAACTTTTCATAGATAAAAAACACCTGGGACATTGAACTTTTTATTAATGGAAAAAAGAACATAGATTTATAAAATTACTGATTAAATTAACAGGAAACTTAACTTTAACACTTGTTATCCAAAAATGTAGCTTAATCAACCAGTATATTTATATGTAGGCCAACTTTTAAGGAGGAGAAGATGGGGGGGGGGGGGTAAGGGAATGCACCCCTCCCCCAGAACTTATTTTCCCTAGATGGTCAAAGTGTGTTTTTTGTATACATTTAGTACAATGGATACATTCAAAGGATAATTAGAACTTAATGAAAAACAATTATTTTATTCTATCACTGTCTTAATAAATAGTTTAGGCTGATTAAGCCTACATGGCTTATATGGCATTCAAAAAGCTCCGAAAATGTTCATAGACTGTTTAATACAGACTGAAATACAAAAATGTATAAAGAATAAGGGATATACATGTAACAAACAAGAATAGGGACATTCCTTATTAAGTACATGTAGTTTTATAAAGTAACAGTTTGACCAAAAGAAAAATGATAACCAAGTTGATTATATTTATATGATTTATTTATATAAAAAATACTATGTTTTGCTTGAAAGAGTAAATTACGCATTATACATTGTATATTGTTTTACATTTTACAACTCGGGTATTATGATTTTTCTAACCTTTCCTGGCCATAAAAAGTACTATTAATGATAAATGAAAGTGGTTAAACCACTTCCCATAAGTGTTTTTAAGCAATATCTTGAATTTTAATCAATTGAGCACTTGACCAACGCTATCTCTACAAGATATATTATGAATATTAATGAAAATTGTAGTGTCAACAAATTAATGTTTGCACTGTATTATAGGAATCAATAAGAATGAATTCAGATCAATAAGTCACGTACTTCACGTCATCTCAGACATTGTGAATTTGTATCAATGTTTTCCTATCATATAGATTAACCTGTCTACAAAATGATGTATGTTATCACTCACACTTTCATCTTTCTCATATATAGATACATGGAAAGAAAAAAATGAAATGGTCAAAATAATTTGTTTTGGACAATGAATTTAGTCATACAAAAATACCATACAACAGAATACAAGTTGTTCAATTTGTTAGGTTTTTAGGTCACACAAACGGTTTACAGCTTTACTGGTGAAGAAAGACCTCATGTGCACCTCCATGCATTATTTCAGGCACAAGTAGGGACTTTAAAGTAGAACTGCCTGTGTTCAGTTAGCTAGAGTCTGATTGCTTCCTTATTCTTAATTTAAAAGAATCCAAAGTCCCAAGCCAGATTCAAACCCATAATGGTGAGGGACTGTTGGTTCAGAGTTTAAAACTTTAACCACTCTACATATGAAATAACAATAATTTGCTCATGTAAAATAACGAAATTCTAATCACAACTTTAAGTAAGATGGTCTAATCCAGGGGTCTGATCCAGGAGATTGCCAGTACACTAACGGTCAACCTGATGCGCTTATTTCTGAATCTGTAACTGTAAAAGTTTGTTTGTGACCCGGGATTAGCTTGGAAAAACCTGAATTTTTTTTAATTCCGCAGTAAGTCTATTCAAGGTAGGACAAATGCAGCACATAAATTCAGCAGGTTTAAGGGCTAAAAGATAAATTTGATTAAAATTTCTGTCAAGTAACTTACAGAAGTACAGTATTAACTGCTTGCTGTTTTCACTTTTAAATTGACTTGAAGTAGAAAGGAAACTTCCCTCTTTCATGATAGATATCATCTGTAAAGTTCTACATTTATATCACACTAAATTAAAGATTTGTGAATTATTAATCTCATTGTATAAACATGGTTGCCTGGAAGAGTATTGAATACTGTAAAGTATTTGTTTGTAAAAATGGGAGTTTGATGATTTTTCAGCATTGATTTTATCTGATCATTGTACCACACTTTTACTACATGTATTGTACTATATTAAAAGAAGTAGTTTGTATTCAATTTTAGACCTTTGTTCACTGATTAAATGGAAAGCTTTTTGTGTACAATAGTGAAAAACTTGACTATTCAAATATAAACGTTAGGTTTTTATTTTCACTACCTTTTTTTATGCTGCAAGCATATCTTATATCATATAGATCTATTGTTTCTGAATAACAAGCATTGTATTGATTGTGTGTATTAATATAAGTGAAATTATTTGTTTAGTAAGCATAATTGTTTTTAATACATTTGTTTTTTTGTAAATGTTTAATTTATTGTGACTCTCTCAAAGAAATATTATAATAAAAGAACCTTTTTTTTTAAGGGACTCAGGCTCCAGGATTTTTTGGCCGGATGGGGTCACAAAATTTTGACAAGGGTTATTGCATATTCCAGAGAGGTTTTGTCATATTACAAGTTTTCCAGAGGTAGAGGGGAAGGGGGAACAGTTAATATTGAGACCTTGATAATATGTTTAATGCAAATTCTTCAAGCAGGGGTCATGACCCCCTTACACCACCCTACAGAAGACATTTAAATATTCAATAAGCATTACTCTAATTTTGCAGGGTTCCATAGAATAAATTTGATTTCAAAGTTGATTATGTACTATTTTGAATCAAATACAATATTATGTATCACCCTCTCTGTAAAATGATAATGTGTCAAAATAGAAAAATTGCATTGTGAGATTGTCGGACATTATTCAATCCCTCGTCTTGCTGGCTCATTCTTGAATCATGTATACTGCATTAAGGGGATTCAAACCTGCAACTCCTTGTATATGTGTCCGCTGCTCATACCATTAGATCAACTAGTATCATTCTAAGAATGAAATATCGAAAACTTTGTACTTCTTTTCAAAAAAGAAAATGTTTTGCATTATTATAATTCACCAAATTTGATGATTACTTTCAAAGAAAGCAGGCACTCTGAGCTTAATAAAGCTCATTTTTTTAATAGAAAGAGCATCATATGTGTAACTAAGGAATCACTGGTTCTATTGTTTAGCCTTCCTTGTAATGCTTTATCATTATGATACAACAAATAAATGCAGGAAGAAAATCTCTCTTTATTCCCATCTAAACAGTCTTTAAATTGGGAATCAAAAGATAATCTCACTTTACTAGAATGTAGCATAATCATTTTATGCCCCCACAATGTGGGAGCATATAGCGTTGCACTTGTCCGTCCGTCCGTCCGTCCATCAGTCCGTCCGTCCGTCCGTCCGTCCGTACGTCCCGAAATCTTGTGAACGCAACTCCTCTTAAACCGGATGGCAGATTTTGCTTAAACTTACAGGGATGAACAACCTTAATGTGTAGATGGTAGTAAAGGAAGGAATTTTCGCTGCGACCAAATTTAACAGAATTATGGCCCTTTGTTGATTTTTTCACGAGATACTATGTAGAAATTTTGTGAACGCAACTCCTCTTAAACCGGATGGCAGATTTTGCTTAAACTTACAGGGATGAACAACCTTCAGGTGTAGATGGTAGTAAAGGAAGGAATTTTCGCTGCGACCAAATTTTACAGAATTATGGCCCTTTGTTGATTTTTTCACTATATACTATGTAGAAATTTTGTGAATGCAACTCCTCTTAAACCGGATGGCAGATTTTGCTTAAACTTCCAGGGATGAACAACCTTAATGTGTAGATGGTAGTAAAGAAAGGAATTTTTGCTGCAACCAAATTTAACAGAATTATGGCCCTTTTTTGATTTTTTCATTATATACTATGTAGAAATTTTGTGAACGCAACTACACTTAAACCGGATGGCAGATTTTGCTTAAACTTCCAGGGATTAACAACCTTAATGTGTAGATGGTAGTAAAGGAAGGAATTTTTGCTGCGACCAAATTTAACAGAATTATGGCCCTTTGTTGATTTTTAGTTTTCAACTTGTGGCACATGTAGTCCAAAAAATATTTGACCTAGAGTCATAAGATTGACAGAACAGTGGCGTGTGGGGGCATCCGTGTCCTATGGACACATTTCTAGTTTTTAAAGCAGCATGCCTCCATATTCATGCTATTTTTCATAAAAAATTTTGAAAATGTATTTAAAAGTATAATATTGTGAAGTGATCAAAGAAAGTACTTTACACATTGCAAACGGCACTTACATTCCACGTAAATTACCATGAAGAGGCCAAAATTTGCAAAGATAGCCCTTTAAACTTATTTTTAGTCACAAAGTAGAAATATCTTGATTTATAATACTTCAAAACCAGTCATTCAATGTACACAACTTGTAAATTATTACTTGAATTTTGAATCATTTTACTTATATCAAAGTCTGTGTATATTTTTTTCAAGTTTGATTTTCATGAAATATTTTTGCTCATCTAGTAGCAACTGCGCCTTTAACCCTGTATATATGCTAAATGTCCTAATCCTTCATTTTCTTGACTGCCCATTATCAATATTAGAACCATGAA